TTGGTTACCGAAGCGCTCTTAATCCAGACAAAATCCAACACACAATGAGCAGGTATATTGAGACTATATCGCTCTGAAGTGGCGAAACTTGTGTAAGCTTTCGACAAATACTAAAAGATAGTTATGATTACTTCTTACCTATCTCGCATTATATGGCTGGCAGTTGAAAAAATGCAATTGCTGAATACTGCTATAATCTTTTCAAAAAATAGGGCAGAAAACACAGAACACATAATTACTCTCATAAATCCAGTATCCTCAGGCAGTACTTCATGCAGTTAGATACGGTGACCACTTATCCTTTCGGGTTGCGGAGGCAGACATGCCATACAATATCTACAATGGTCCTAATCCTGTGGAAGTGTCTACGCTTCAGCAAAACACAACCCGAGTATAGAACAAGTTCCTTCGAGTACATCTGTCCCAACTTATTTTCGACTGTCTCCTTGGTCTTCGGCCGGTAGTATTGGAAACTGTTTCGTTTCGCTTCGTCTTCCTTTCTGCAAGAATTTGCAAGACTTTCCCAAACTATGACTAATAAGTCTTGAAAAGCAGCGACTGTGCACCAATGCCTTGTTATATATCTGAATGCCGGACTCTGTCGAGGCTCGAGAAAAACCAGAGATTCGTATCAGGCAGACGATTTCAGCCGCTTTTACAGGGATTACATTTTGTCATTCATAACGAATGACTACTCATGACCATAAGTAAGCATGAATACAGGAGTTTCTTTCGAGAAATCCAGCTGTCTCATTTTGCTATAAAAGCTCTTCGAAAAAAAGAATTTAAGGATGGTAAATGCTGTCATCCAATGAATAGATGGCACAGGGATAAGACAGGCAGTTTCCTTCAATTCTTCTGTGCGAATCTGCAACTAAGATCTGCCTATACGTAATCGCCTTAAATGTATAAGGAGGTTCGTCAGCTTTCGGTTAACATCGCTTCTTTACTCGACAATCTCCGGAATTATGGCAGGCAATTTCGGCTACCAAACGTTTGTCGCCATAAGACTTACTTCCACCTAGCTACCCCACTACCTCATGGTACCTTTATTTGCTGTACGTTCTCTCAAATACAAGCAAAGACTGAACTTACAAAAATCCGTGCGTTGACCGTTTACGGAATAGCAAGTCCGTGCAATCCAGAACAGATAAGCACGCAAAGATCTGCAATGACATGAAGCTTTGAGCCGACACTGACAAAAATTCCTGACACCAACCCTTTGGCATGAAAATAGTTTACGAATATCTCATTGCAACAAATATTTCCCTACACACAAGATAAACTTACTAGTTTGTCATTTCTCTTAGCGGCGGTATCGATAACTGGCAGTATGATAGTAAACCCACAAGATCGAGTTTATTTGTACGTATAAATAGGCTTACGGATCATGGCGTATCTGTAGCTGTCCGAACAGGCCTTTAATCGGCCCTGCCTGTCGATGCGGTTTTGCATCCATGCATTGCAAGTGCTCCAATGCCACGGAGCTATGGCCTGCTTAAATGGTCCGCTAGGGGACCGGGCCATTACGCTGCTTAAATCAGGTACCAAAGGAGATAGTGTTAAACTTACAACTCTCCCAGATACACTAAATTAGCTCTACCCGGCCGTAACTGAACACAGCCAATGAACTTTCCATAACACTATCACCGTTAGTTAACAGGCCATGACCTTATTCATTACTAAAATACAGCGCAACTGAATTGCACTTTGCGTAAG